TAGAATGAGAGATGAGGTCCTTATCTTATATGGATACTGGTCTAAGTCAGCTTATGTGTTATAAGATGAAGATAGTAGTCCTGATGAATCGTATATAATATAAATTTATTACATGAAACTGATGAGTTTATTTGTTTGAACGTGTTAATCTCAGGAACTACTGAACCAATTTGATAAATTCTTTTTGAATTGGATAGTCTATTTATCGAGGATTTTTTTAGGTTATAGGCCACGCTGCGATAAATAGGCACCGAGATGTGCGGGTAAAACCTCGTGAAAGTAAATAGTGTTTTAACAATAAAAGTGGTTGAAAAATAACATAACATCACATCTTTTGTCCCTGAAGGGGTAGGCAAAGGTGCACACTGTACAATGTAACACTAATTTTTCACTATTTATGTTATGAGTCCCATGTCATAGGGGGTGAGCCTATTGCTATATACCGGGCACAATTCCAGACTCCGTGCTACTACTGAGAATGTTTTAAAAACCCTGTAATACTTAGCCCGACCAGGGAATCGAACCCGAGACCCCTTGCCCAGCGGTAGCACTTGCGACCATTTGCGACCAACAGGGGTTGAAAAATTTTATATTGAATTATGTAAAACAAAACGTCTTCTTTTGTAAAGAGCCATACCAAAGTACGGTTTATAAAACCACGATATTTATAGCTCAACTAAAGTTTCTGTTCAGGATCTCCCACCTTATAGGCACATTATCTACTCAACCGAAGAGGTGCTACATAGAATTAGTTAATGTGATTAATTTTACTTAGCATAATACTTAAGGATTAGCATAATTAGTAAGATCCTTCCTAATTCCAATAATAGATCCTAACACAACGCCATAAGGCTTCTCATCAAACGCTATGTCTAACACGTAATACTACTAAATATAATAGCCACCCACAATGTACCATTAGAAGTGCTGATTTTATTATTACCCTACAAAATACCGTTTAAGTAGGGTCATTTTCTCAGTAAGTAGGCACTAATTGTATCTACTTAAGCCTATAAAGGAAACATTGCCGAAACGACCCTACCAAAGAAAATCGATAACGGTCTTGGGCTCTCCGTTCAATTTCATTAAGTGGTTCTGACTTATTATAAAACTACATCTGCAAGATTTTTTCCGCATTCTCGGAGTTTGTTTTTGAAGATAGAAGGATTTCCTTTTGGGTTTTGTGATGAACTAGGTATAGTTCTAGGCTTAACTTCATTCTTGCGATTTTATAAAAGGAAATATAATCAAATAATTTACAATGGAATAAAGGTTTCCTACTATACTCGGAATTTTAATTCAATTCCAGATTTGACAATTTCAGTGTTGCAACGTTATGACAAGTACTAAATAGTGACGTTGCGAAATTATTCGATATGGAAATGGAATATTTCTGGATCGATTCTTCTCGTTTATAATTTTCCTCTCGTAAACTACGTTTTGAAGATTAATTAACGATCTGATACTTTTTTTTTATAATTGTGTGTAAAATAAATAAAAAAAAATGTAATCATGAAGGAACATGACAAATAAAACAGATAGATGTATATAATTTATTTTATAAATTGTCGCCGTCATCGCTATCGCTATCACTTTCTGTAACATTTATTATAAAATACACACACTGATTGTTTATTGATTTTTGTGTCCATCACTACACTATTATATGTGGTATCATTATATCACAAAATGACAGTAGCTAATGTCAAATCTGGAATCGAATTAAAATTCTGACTATAGAACTATAAAATAACCGACAAAATTTTATTATACTGTCTAACACTAAAATTACAATAAAAGCTAGTAAATATTTACAACAATAAAAGACAGATTTTACTATTACAATGAAAAATGAACCTAAAATACGATCACTACCTCTAGCATTGTAAACATTCCCAGAAAATCTATCGAGTCAAATAAGCCAGCACTTGAAACCTTTTCCCGAAACCAGTAAGGACGAAAATTCAAAAATTCCAACCATTCACGTACACTTAGAGTCGGGGTAAAAGCACTTGTAAATAAACAAACAAAAAAAAACTCAGCAGGATAAATGACTCAGGAATAGCATTGTCGTTACTGTCACATACATGTACACATAACAACGCATGAAGCTATACAAAACCAGTATAAACTGGCCGTGGAATGTGCAGAATTATAATATAAAGCGAGATCATGATAAATTGGTTACGTATAGGTCGATATGTATCCATGTGTACTATACGCAAGTAAGAGTCATTATTAATAGCCGCCCAGTTGCCCAAAGGTTGCCTCTGGGAAATATATCGCGACCTTTTGATGCCGTTTCCAACTCGAAATTATTGTCCTAATGTTCCCATGTTAGTTCAGTTGATTCTAAATGTATTAACGTTAATATTAAGCGAAGGTTCCTTGTTATTTTCCTTGAAAACCTCTTATTAGTTCTGTTTTCTTATTTTGATTTTCTTGGAAAACATTTAAGGTGATTACAGGTAATGGTCTCATAGTATTATAAACTTGTAGATACTTTACTTTCTTGTTTAATTTTAGTATTGTTGCGTAGATATCTTAGAGGCGTTGCTTATTTATTTACAACATGTTTTACTTTCTTTAAGATTTATTTTTATTATTGTATCTTGTCTTAATTACATTTCAAGTCTAGATCTCTCAAAGCCTTCTAAGCCCCAATAAGTCTTAAGAAAAAGACGTGTAAACAAAAATGAATAAAAATGCTTAACAAACGAATGTTAACATTACAGTATTGAAATGAAATTGATATTTATTTTAATACTCAGAACAATTCTATTCAACGATCAGCAAATACAAGTCGAATTAATTTTCTGTTATAGTCTTGAAAATTGATAAAGTTGATCGGTCCTTATGCCATTCGAAGCATCCAATTCGATTTTAGTTACAAATGCGATGCCTACGGTGTTCACCGGACGAAATTAAATATAAATAAGATCGGAGGGTTCAGAATCGAATTAAAAAATAATAACGCGTTTCAAATAGTGATGTTATTTTATCGATAAGTAAACTTCGTTCATGTAACTAAGGGAATAGAGTCACTCGACTATCTCAATGTGTTATTTGAAGTTAAGAAGTCGTTTTAGTAAGTTATACGCAGTAAGTATTTGTGATAGGGATCCTCTATTGTCCGAGATAATATAAATAGTAAAGTAAGGATCTTTTTCTTTTACTTTTGTTTTGTTGGTCGTTGAGATTCGAATGTGATTGAGTCCATTTTATGTATGAATAGTTCTTTATTTTTCATAAAGGATATTAGTGTAGTGTTTATTGAATCTTTGACAAATTTAACCCTTTGAGTACCGTCATTATAGACACAATTAAAGAACAATGGGTTGCGGTCACCGGTGACCGCTTGGTGTTTGACAGTTTAATATAGATACCAAGAACTTAGAAGAAAAGGCAGACACAACATCTTAAAATAATGACCACCTGGCTATTAATAGACACACATTGATACGGAGGACATCTCTGCCATTTTCTAACAACTAACCTATTACACTCGCAAACATAAATAACCAACTGACATATTTGTGCTTAATCATTTCGAATTGACTTTTTTAACGTCCTTCATAGGTACTGTATTTCTTATCTTTGATGAATTGAAACTTAAAACTATTAAATAAGCTCCAAAAATCATTTTCAAAATATATCATAGAAACAGTCAGTGTCCTAATTAAGCAAATCATTCCATTTTAAATACAATACCTACACGCAACATCAAACAAAACCAACTATTACACCAATACTACAAATTAATATAACAGCAATATTGTCGTCAAACTTTGCCAATACAATGAAACCTTCAATAGTTAACATTAATATTCGAGAACATGTTTTGTACAAAGGCAAAACCCAAGCAAATGAGTTAACAAAGTTTAATTAGACAATCCAGTGTTAGATACAAGAAACAGTTCTGTTTACTATGTCCCTGTTGTTCAAGATTTGTGTATCTGTGTGACTTGTAACACTGTAGGTTTGCTGTTATGATTTCCTTCAGGGTTTGAGTTGGTTAGACACGGTTTACCAGCATGCAACATTATTAGAAGCTAAATTAAATGAAAATATTTGCGAGATGTGTCGCTAGTGTAGTTTTTGTCTTGTGGGAGTTGCAGTGGTTGGGTTTAAAGTTTGTTTTTGTTAAATGTTCGTGTTTATGATAACAGTTACTTCGAGAATTTGAAAGACATTTTACTCAGATTGATCAGGCTGTATAAGCTAACAAATTCAATAGATAAAACAACTTTGAGCGAACAACTTTTATTACCAAACACTTCAATAAAAGCAAACAAAAACTTAAAAGGAAATATTATAAATAAAAATTCAGGATGAAAAAAATATCCAAACAAATAAAAGACTAAATATATCTCGCAAGAAAAAAATAAAAACGTCACAATAAAGTTCAGTCCCTTATTCAAAAACAAACTCCGATAAAACACAACTTTTTATAATTCTTTTACACTCAGTATATATTATAATGAATACGACAAAGAAAAAACGCTGGTCCCGGCTGTTGTCACATGATAACGGGGGCTTTACGTCATGACAGAGCGAACTTTGCCACAAAAACGTTGAAGAAGTTAAAGATACGAATAGCTGTATAATAATGTTGACCCGAACTTGTTCCTGACACTTTTTAGATCACAGTCACAAAAAAATGAACAGAAGAATTTTTGTGTAGAATATTTATGAAAGTATCCAAACAGAATTTGAAATTCTCAAAGAATTTTCCGTCAAGGTCACAAAACTGGCTAGCGGACGAACTAACTTAAAGAAATCTAAATTGGAGTTAGTAAAATAAAATTGAACACAAAAACTTTATCTTGGAATTAACGCTCCATTAACAACAAACAATCTTATACTTACCACAATCAAGATTGTCGAACAAACATCTGCGTTTTATTGAAACCGAAATGGTTGAAAAACATTTTCATTTTGTATTTTCGGCTAAACTGGCGAGTTGTCGTGCGGGTTGGTGACGTTATCGCTTCGCAACAATGGTCACTAGAAAGTCTGGTGACCGCAACACGACTCCCAAACTACGTTCAGCTGACCTCACATTGCTTTCATTCAAATGTGACAACTCGGATAGTCACCTCGTTAGTGAATTTTGAAGTCCTGTGGCAAACGAAAGTGCTCTCCTGCCACCAGAAGAATGCAAGTAACGACGTCACTATCTCGAGAAACAGACGTGTTTTGAATTTCTACGGGTTCTTAGTAGGTCAACAAAGAGAAAAGCCAAAATTTGGTGACTCTATTTTTAACCTTGTATTCTCTCTCAGCATAAGCAGCATAGGTTGATTTAGAAACCGTATGTGAGTTTCAAGTTATGATTATAATTATAGCTAATACAAACAATCACAGTTGAATAAATTCGTATCTACTCTAAATTTAATATTAATGTTATTATTTACCATCTAAAAGGGAGGAATATCAAACAGAACAGTTTAAATTATACCGTTTTAATATCAGAAATCTTTGAACCGGGACATAAATTAGCCGACTATTTAGAACGTCAAGAGATTCGATATCATTGAAAGCTGTAGACGTACCGGTTGACAATTAAGTGGCTATTATGTTATACTCTCTGTCAGCCCTGTCTCTAACAAAGTTGTAGATCCCTTCGCGCTTCACACCACAACCGGACCTGTAAACAATAAAACAGTATAATATCAAATTCCCACCTCTCCCACTCAGCGCCCTCTTTTTATGAATTTGTCATTTAATACTGACTCGACTGTATTTACTCCGGAAGCATCTACTAATAAAATTTTAAGTGCTACCGAATCAAATTTTTAGGTCGTGCCTACTCCCGCTTTTAAGTAGGACCAAGGATGAATTTAAATGAGCTTTCAACAGCGTTGACTTGGAATTGCATAAATATTAATGGTTCGTGGACTACAAGACTGATGGATATGGATTAGCTGGAGTGAGTTTTCTTTAAGCAACTTGAGGGGACAACGTGTCTACAGCAAATTGTTTGTTGCTGTCCAATGAATATTAATCATTTACATTACCAAGAAAATGCTTCAATGCCCTCTTTCCGTCAATATTGCGTTCCGATTTATTATTGTTGCTGTCGACGCTAATGCGACGTTGTCAGTCACTGAATTCGCTGTTTAACTTAAGTTTATTATCTTTGGAGCAATCTTTCGTGTTTACTGTTTTAGTACTAATAAATAAATCTGTAAACAGGCGTTGTAGCAAAGTCCGCCATTAATGAGAAGCCGTTTGCGTTACATTCATTTACATTAAACTTGGGTCTAGCGTGAGAATGTTTGCAGATTCCTGAATATTAATAGCTACCTTATTAATGTTTGAACATCGCATTACCATTAAATTATTGAAATTAGCCTTCCTTATTATGAAAACAATTTCTAACATGTTCCTCTTTTTGTTCCAGGTTTACACGCAATAAAAATAGTGAAGTTTGTAGTGCCAGAGATAATTCAGTATGGTGTTCAAGATTCGGTAATATTAGACTGTGATTACACGTACGGGAACAGGACTCCAGGTCTTGTGGTGAAGTGGTTCTTCAGAAGCAAAACGAGACCAGTGTATCAGTGGATAGTGTCACAAAAGCCACAGGACATTGGCATTTTGAGGGGTCGTTTGGACTTAAATTATAGAGCTTCAGATGATCCATTAAAAATGTATAGAGCTCTTCGAATAGTTAAATTAGATACGGACATATCTGGTGAATATATTTGTGTAGTGTCAACGTTTTTAGATGAAGATGTTAAGAGTAAACACATGACTGTCTTTGGTAAGTTGATAATTTTTTTAAATAATTGAAACTTTTTATAGCGAAGGTGATGTGGACTTCCCAATTGTCTGATTAGCAGTTGTGTTATTACTCCCACTACAAATGAAGATGAATCTTCGTACATACATATTTCAAAGAAACTTCTAAACTTATTTTTCAAATATTGAAAACAAAAATCCCACGAGTCTATGAAAGAAAATGGGAGCTGAGCGGTACGTGCTTGTGCCCAGTACATAAACACATCTAGCTAACCATTGTTTATATCTTTACATGTGTAAACATACACAGAAGATTTCAAGCAAACTATCAAATAGCGTTCCTATTTTTTAAATCATATTAACATTCATAAACAAACAGAACACTTGTAACTATTATCCTAACCTTTATAAGGGTTCACGGTTCTATTTTCATCCCTATACATTCCACTTACAAGCACACGTGCCAAGACTATGTACTCAAATGTTGGTGTTAAACTTACATAAAGTTTGAACGTAAGTCATGCTAGGAAAACATTCGATTTCGTGTATTGTATTGTCGACCTTTTTGTTGTAAACCGTTTTATTTGACTTGTACTTAGGTACCTATATGAAAGTAGGGTATAGTATTTTGGTTGTTGTTAGGAAATTGAGGACTATTGATAATATATTTTTAACCGACTTAAAAAAAAGGAAAAAGATTCTTAGTTTGGCTTGTATGTATGTATGTATGTTTGTACGCCATTATCTCGGGATTGGCGGAACCGATTCCGAGAAAAGTGTTGTGAGTTATCAAAAGTTTATAACACTTAGGAGAAAGGTTTAGTGTATTACTTTCAGGCTCATTATTCTCTATAAGAATTTACACCTAGGAATGAGCAAATAGCTTCACTTCAAAAGTGCCTTTCTGGTGTAATTGCAATAAATGATTTTGACTTTATTTTTACTTAAAAAGAGGGGGTTAAATTCGGTTCCTTTAAACGTAGCTTATAAAAGAATCTAATCAGCAATTCTATGGTGTATTAAAAATAGTACTTTGATAAGAAGCTCTAACAGAGTCCTCATTTCAGCTTAGTATTTTTCCTGTTTGTTGTAGCTTATATCTGTTTATGTCAGTTAGTTAATTAATTATGGGTTCTTTTCCTAGAATTAATAACGTATTTTTAGTACGTCTTTTTAAGAAGCAATGTTTACTGATTCACACCAAAAAGAAAATTGGTATTGAAAGAAAATTATCATGTTTTAGGTTTTAGATTCATAGACCGCGTGTCATCTTACTAATATTATAAATACGAAAGTTTGTGAGGATGTATGTGTGTGTGTTGTGGTGGCCTGGAGGTTTAAGACGCCCGCTTCTCATGCATGAGGGTGCGGGTTCGAAACCTACCAACGGCAAGTACCAATGTGACTTTTTCCGAGTTATATGTACTTTCTAAGATTATTTAGACACCACTGACAAATGGTGAAGGAAAAACATCGTTAGGAAACCTGGACTTATAATTTCTAATTATAAGTTTGTAATCGCCAACCCGCATTGAACAAGCGTGGTGATTAATGCTCTAACCTTCTCCGTGTGAGAAGAGGCTTTGCTCAGCAGTGGGCATTTATAGGCTGTTGATGATGATGTATTTGTGTTTGTTACTGTTTCACGTCAATACGGCTGCAGGGATTGAGATGAATTTTGGAACCAGGGTAGGTTATGGTCGGGAATAACACATAGGCTACATTTTATTCTACGGGGACGCTAACGAAACCGCCGGCAGAAGCTAGTTATACATTAATTTACAATTGATTAGCTCACACCCTTTCACACACAATTTACCAAGAAATAGTTTGTACGCAATACAAGTTCAAATGAACTAATTTCAAGCACATATTTATCAAAACTGTCAAGTGTTTCTCTATAATAGAACCGCTAGATTCCACTGACACCGCATTGTTGAGGTTTAGCGTGTTAACTGATGTATGAAACTTGAACTTTGACAATATCTGTAACAAAGTTTAGATTGCTATGTAGCCTTCGTTATAAATATTCTCTATATTTCTCCTTGTGTTTTAATTAAATCTAAAATTAGCTTAATTTTTGCTCTGTACAGAATGAATGATTTGATTTCATGATCTTTTTTTCTCGTTATTACTTTATACACTTACTCCTCAATCCTCAGTTTAGATGGCCTTTAAACAATTAAAATTGACAACTAAGCTTTCAATTGTAATCAGACAATGTAACATCAAAAAGAGGATAGGAATAAAAACAAGAATAAAAAATAGGATAATGATAACAATAACTTAAAAATTATCTTAGGTCTATCCAAATTGGGCCTTAATGGAGTCAAACTAAAAAACAATTTAAGTTTGAAAATTATTTAAATTATGTCTCACAAAAGGTGTCAAATATCATGTTTTAATATGTTTTAACAGTACATAATTTAGCAAAATAATTTTAAAATGACAAATTCCTTGAAACAACACACTTGACCCCTAGTGTACAATTATGAATATTTTATAGCTCAATTAACTTATTGACTTATGTACCATGTACTATTATAATAACTACTAGTCTAAAGTGGTCACTAGCTATCGGAAAGTTCATTATATCTAAACCCTTTTACCGTAATGTGGTTAAACCGTAGGTAGCTAGTGTGTGTATACAGGACAACACATGAAACCATACGTACCCAGGTTATCATGGTCTGGCTTTGTGTGATCTTTCTGCGCGTTCAACGGTCAGTTTATACTGGTCATCCATAGCTTGATCTGTAGCTGTGTACTATCGTTTGATGAGGATAAACTGATAAACCCAATAAGTAACTGGCTGGAACTTAGTCTGGTTGTATGGCTTAGTCAGGTGCCTTCTTGTTAGATGTGATTATTTTATACTCATAATCAACTTTTTGCTTTTATGATTATATGTATGAAGTTTCTTGCTCGTTTTCCATACGAATCTACACCGTGGAATGAGCAATTAGCTTCACTTTTATTTTTTTTTGTTGATATCCAATAGTGCCTTCCTGGTCTAATTGAAATAAATGATTTTGACTTTGACTCTAGGTCTTCTATTGTCTCTTCTATATTCACTTGCATCTATAACACTGTAATTTTTGTAAAGAATAAGCCCTGTTTTCATTTTAAAATCTGCGTTTACTTCATCTCTGTGTATAGGTAAAGAAAATTGTATGTTACCTTTAAAACTTTAATCGATTAATACTTGGTATCAATCTCGAGACTTTTCAAAACAATCATAATATCACTGTAACATATCATTGCGTTGGATTTTAATCTCTATAAACATCAGCTTTGGTATGTAACTAACATTTTTTATGAACAATGTGATGTGATTCGAGTCAATGACTATTCAAATTATCATTGATGCTCGATCATTTGTAGATATAACGATAAAATGAACCCCAGGTCTAGATAGCATGAGTCTAAAACTAATTCGCCTTTGTTTTCTATTTCAAAATAACCCCAAGGGATCTATTTCCTTTGACCTAAAGCCAAAATGCCTTATACGATTATTTAGTTGGCCTTGTTCGTACATTTCCATTCCGATGGTTCTTTTGATCGAATGAAATTACTTTCTTCATTAATGAATTGTGTAAACAATTGCTATCGATCCGTTTTAATCGATGTGCCATTGTCAACCTTATGTCTGTTTTACGAGGATTCAATTCAGTAGTTTGAGATTAACCCGGAATTAAATACACAAGTGATACTATATAGCTATATGTAATGGTGTCCCATTAAATACGCTTCAAATATCTGAATGGATACTATAGTATGTAATATTTTTACGTGAAGGCAGTATCTTATGTTTTTAGACCTCAATGTGAAACCTTTTTATGAAGCCCTCTCTCCTAGGAGAGTACAAAGAGGACGCCAGTTTAACTGACTTAACTCACATTGTTTTGCAGTTTCAAACATCAAACAAATTCTCCTGTGGAAGTATGTAGGTTGCGTTTCAAATATTTTAAAAACTGCTAAGAACACTAAACCAATATTAAGTTTTCTACTCAATTACATATTATGAAGTGTTGAGAATTCGACTTTTCTAATTGGTATTAGTACAAATCAGTTTTCTGTAAATAATACTCTTTTAAAACTCTCCTATTAAAAGAAGACTGCAAGTGTGCCAAGTGAAAACCAGTGTTGGGTACTTTTTATGCCCAGGTCATACTGAATTTGAAAGCTCTTTTGTCATGGACATGTTGTCACCTTGTTATTGTTTTTATATAAGTTTTTTTAATACATATATTTTTATTTTATTTTTATTGTATTTTGGTCTTATGATTCTATGTTTGTTTATTTGGTAAATCATGCCTAATGGCAAATAAATTATTTTTATTTCTCTCTTTCAAGAATACAGATATTCCTATTTTTTTTTTATTGAACCTAAATACATCAATTTCAAACTCTCCCAGTAGATTTTAGTCTATTACATAACAAGCTTTGTCCAAAACCATATTTAAATAAAAATAAAGGTCACTTAACACATTAATACAAATTCTACTAACTAAAACAGTGACATTTACAAACCACAATTGTGGGACTTGGCCCAATTCCCAACCTAATTTCCAATTGACATGCACTTGGCCAATTCATTTAGGAGGGAGAAAGGTATCAGCTGCGTGTTTGAGGAAAGTTATATAAAAGTTAACTCAGGGCAGTATAACTTAACAGGGATCGTTAACCGTTATTTTACAACCTGTTACTATACACAAACTGTTTTACGTTTTCGTTTTTATTGTGATTTGGAATATTGGTAGTTTGTTGTGCTTTTGTAACGAAATTGGCGAATTGATTTTCTTGAATTGTGGTTTGAGGGGTATTTTACTTTTTTATGGAATAAGTCGAGGAACGAGCAGACGGATCACCTGATGGTGAGCAATCGGTGTCGCTCATGGACACCCAAAACACTAGAAGAAGAAGACGAAACACTACAAGTGCGTTAACAGTATTTTGGGTATTAGGAATTTGAGGGTTATTGAATTTGGGGAGGAGGATAATTGGACCTCCGGTAACCACACTCACACGACGTAACACAACGCAAGCGTTGTTTCACGTCGGTTTTCTGTGGGGACGTAGTATCACTCCGGTCGAGCCAGCCCATTCGTGCCGAAGTATGACTCTCTATAGTATTTTTGGGAAAGCATAACAATCATCATCATCAAATCAATATCAATAGATATTTAAGAAAAATAAACTAAGTGACTCAAAAATTTTAAAAATATGATTCGGTCATCACTCAGAATATTTCAAAACATTAACGTACAGAAAGGTACACAAACGAACAAACGAACATAAACAAACGAAACTAAAATCTAAATGCATAACAATAACTATCAAATTTCAGTGCCGGAGACGAGTTTCCGATTAATCCAGAACAAGACGGATGACGACACGGTCAACGTCATCTGTGCAGCGGACGGAGCCTTCCCTGCGCCAAACCTTACTATAGCAACACCAGAAAAGTGAGTAAATATAATATTTTTTTTTATTTATTTTTTTATTATTTTTTTTTTATTTTGTCTTTTAATACCTAAATTATGATACCTAATTATAAGTTGACTGCCTCGTTGGCCAAGTGTTCGCAAGTGCGACTGCCGGGCAAGGGGTCTCGGGTTCGATTCCCGGATTGGGCAAAGTATTACTAGGTTTAAAAAATCCCAGTAGCACGGAGTCTGGAATTATGCCCGGTCTATGATAATAGGCTCACCCCCTATTACATGGGACTCATCACATAAATAGTGTAAAGTGGTTGTTATATACAGTGTACAGTGGCATTTAAGTGCCGTAATGTGCACCTCTGCCTATCCCTTCGGGGATAAAAAGCATGATGTTATGTGGTTGTTGATAATTATAAGTAAGGTCAAGTTTTGTAATAACTATAAGCTAGCCATTGCTATACAGATGTGTCTAGCAGATCAATCTGAACGGGTAAAGTCTATGTATCTCTCCGTGCCTTTTTTGGCCATTGACACGCAGTTTTTCCCGTCAGATATCAAGTTCAGGCAGATCTGCCGGGCCCATTTGTGTCTAGCCATGCCCTATTGGCCGTAGAGAGATGATTTTAAATAGTCTCCTCCTTGCAAAAGCCAGTCAAGAATTTTGTCGATTACAATACCATTTAATCGATTACAATTGTCCTATTCCAAACTTATTTAACATCGCAACAATAGAAATTATGCAATACTAAACAATTCACGATCCAATATCTCAGCATTTTCAATTTCTTGATAAGGAAACGAGACGACAATTTTAGATAGACCTCACTTACCTACAATTATTGATAATACGTACGTAGTAGGATTGTGTGACATCTCTGCAAGGTGTCAATGTTAGGTGGTGGACGCTGACGTATGAAGCTACCAGCTGTAGAACATGGAGACCGCATTGCGGGGAGTGTCCATGTAATGTGCTGGGCGCAATTTGATATGGAATGTTCCGAAACGTTGGGATTTGAACCGTTTCATGGTATTTAGTTCTGTATTGTTTCCTAGTTCCATTGTTAAATGAATTCGTGTTAATTGTCTGTTTCATAGAACTGGGGTAATGCTGTTATTGCGTTAATGATATCGATATATATTTCATAAATGTTTGAACCCTTTGTATTGTTTTCCGAAGTATCAATTAAAAATTTGCTGTTATGCAACAAATTCAATACAAAACTTTAAGTTCTTTCTAGTTAATCTATAATAAATTCAAAATGTAAATTAAATTAAAAAGCGTTTAAAAATTCAAAAAGCAATTGAAAGGATTTCACCTTAAAATAATATCACATTTTGAACAATTGACTGTAGAAGAATAAAAGAACTTGGCAACGTTTTGAGGCTAAGATTAAACTTGGTCGACCTGAGCTACCAGGTGGTTCACCTGCCAAGCTCCAGGTTATAAAATATGCTTTGCTAAAAAATTTCATTTTGGCCACCTAGTTTTCTTATTAGCATACTAGGTTATACCATTTTCACGTTGTATGGTGAAGGTAATGAACATGGTAATAAATAATTTAGGAACGTGTAGGAAATCACAGAAGGTAAAGGAATGTTAGGATCTTGGGTCATCCTCATGGGACATTGGCGTCGGATCACTTACTTATGTATAAGATGTTTGAGTACGTATTTTGGTACGTAAAAGTGTATTAATAGTTCTAATATTCAACTCTATAGTAGATAAGATAGTAAACTTGCTATGTTTAATCATTCGAAAACGCAAGTACAATGTTTCAGTGTCAAATATAACATCCAAATGTTTCCAAAGCAGACATGTTCAAGTCGCAGAAACTCACACCGAAAACAATCTTAGAGAAACAAGAGACAAATATTTTTATAATGAATGTACAAACTAAAACGATCTCAACTTTCTAATTTAACTTCGTGTAACCAACATTACAAGCGGCGACCACATATTTGCCGGGAACAATGAAGTTTTCACTCCTAAGGGAAATATGTCTTGAAACTAACAACAAAATTTAATCAAAAGAGAATGTTTTAAAAACTACAAACATAGACTTGAAGGAGCTTTGAATTATTTGCGGTGATTTTTACTGCTTACTTCCTATCTTTTGAGACAAAACAACGCATTCTTAAGTTAAGTAAAAAATTCGGAAAATGCATTCGTTTTTGTTATAGTTTAGGCAATGGATGGGGGCAAGGAAAAATATTTGTGCAGGAAAATTTAATTATAGCTGCATTTAACGCCTTGAGCGATGCTAAATTTGGAAATTAAATTATGTGAAACGTCTGTTAATGTTGGCCCATTCTTGTGTTTTCTCATTATCATGCTTTTGTGGATCTTGGCGAAAATAAACATTAACGTTTTGTGTTCTTTTTCTGTCTGAAACATTCTTGAATAATTGTGGAAAGGATTTTAATTGGATGATTATGGAACAAAATTAAATGTTTCTAAAACCTAAAAGCATTGTTGGTGAATTTTCGATTAAGGTTAATGTATCTAAATAAATTTTCGTAAAATATTATCTATACTAATATAAAGCTGAAGATTTTGTTTTTTTGTTTGTTTGTTTGTTTGAACGCGCTAATCTTCGGAACTACATTTCTGATTGGAATAATTCTTTTTGTGTTAGATAGCGCATTTATCGAGGAAGGTTATAGGCTATAAAACCTCACGCTACGACCAATAGGAGTTGAGCAGAGCGTGTGAAACCGCGCGGAAGTAGCTAATTAGATATATTGTGAAAGTGTATGTTTTTACATAGATAAATTATTAGTCATTTGTTCTATATAACAAATAAAAAGTCCGTGTATATTCCGAAGCAAGATTGTCCAGAATCCAAGTGGTTACATTTGTTATAAATTGTATCCCCACTGTCTTCGACAAAACTATATTTCCGAAATTACTTTTGTTCTTTTCAAATAAGATTGGCGCAAATACATACATTTGTATTCTGATGCTAAGTGTAAATATTCACTGTAATGTAACAGCGTGCTTGTTATTCGCCAATAGTAAAATATGTTTTTTTTTGTATGTTATAACGAAATATGGTTCATGTCAATATGGTCTACTATTTTAATCTCTATGATATTATCAAACAAAGGTTGTAAAATGAAAAATAAAACCTACCGTAAGTACCATCTGATTTAAGGATTAAAATAAAATTAAAATTCAGGTCAGTTTCCGACAAAATCACATTGGAAATAGGTTACGTACATTCTTAAATATATTTTTTACTTCAAGATTTAAATTAAGTACTAAGCTAAGTAAAATTTAATTCAAGCGTATGTAGGCTAAGCAAAAATAGACCTTATTTACTTCAGAACACTGGTTTTGTATAATTAGAAAACCGATACGTACTTGCTCTAAAATAAGCTTGAAAGGGTGACAATGGATAGGTTCGTTTATACATAAACATCGGGTACCTAAGCATACAATTATACCTAGACTGGTAATTTGAATGTGAACAAAAATAACATCTAACAACAAAATTGCCACAAAACATTACTGATTATGTTTAATTTTCAGAAATCTATCATCATTCTAAGAAAATGTCAAAAGTAAAATTATATTGTTCTATACAAATTGTTTTATCTTTAGACTTTGTAGGTAGTTTGTATGTTTTAGATAGAACTTTAAATATATATTTCTATTCTATTATAAAAGACAGTCGTGTTAGTTACACAATTTATAACTCAAGAGCAGCTAACTCGACTTGCATGAATATTGGTAGGCAGGTAGCTTAGAACCAGTAGACGGACATAGGATACTTTTTTTTACTCCTCATTTAAAATCGGGAACGGTAAACGAGAAAAAACGAGATTGCGCCTCCGAAGTCGCGGGGTAGTATATTATAAAAGAGAATCGTGTTAGTTACACTATTTATTTATTCAAAAACATCTAAATCGATTTGGATGAAAATTGGTGGGGAAGTAGTTTAGACCCAAGTGACGGACATAGGATACTTTTATACCTTACTTTTTTTACTTTGACAATCGGGAATTTTATAGCATTGCGCGTACGAAGTCGCGGGCAAAAGCTAGTATATTATAAAATACAGTCCTGTTAGCTACGCGATTAATAACTCAAGAGCAGCTAAATCGATTTGGATGACCATTGGTAGGGAGGTAGCTTAAAACCAGGAGATGGACATAGGATACTTTTCATACCATATTTTTTTTTACTTTTTACCGAAAATCAAGAACGGGAAACGGGATAAAACGGGATTGCGCGTACGAAGTCGCGGGCAGTATCTACCTACTTAATATTTTATAGTGTCGTAATAAAGTAATAATAAATATATAAGTCGTAATAAAAGTAACTACTACCACACCATTGACCACCACCACCTTTTAGAATAAATAGCTCCTATATCATATTTATTCATATTACTTACAGTAAATATGCATTTTAGAATAATATTACTCAAAAATTACCAGCAGTACATGTTTCTAGGGGTAATTCTTTCGCGTACGTCTCGAAGGAAGCACGTAAACCAGCTATCTAGGTTATCGTACGAAGATTTATGTCAGTCGTTATAAATAGTCAGAAGTTTTAAACTCAGACAACGAATTTGAATGTTGTATCATCTCTACTGGGTCGTAAAAGTAGAAGATAATGAAAAATCGTACGTATAATGTTTGTTTTTGCTTGCAAAATGACTTTATCTTGTAGGTACACTTACGGAGAAATAATTGCGAAGTTTTTAATTTTGGTACTCACATCACAGGGTCTGAAAATATGATCTCAATGGATAAATTTAAACAATAATAATATCGCCAAGTACACCTAGTGTTTGTTTCAAATAATTGAAACTCCTCTTCCCTATTGATTTCAAAAAATATATTTTTAGTACTAATAAAGTAACAACCTTATGACAACTATCGTGAGACATACTAAACTAAGTAAAATCGCGGGTTACTCACGTGAATATACTGAAAAAATTATACGCTCACTGCGAGTGGGCTGCGCGCGACGTCGCCGCGACCGTGCACGCTGCTCATGAGGAAGAACCCCTCTATGGT